ATATTCTATTATAAATGTATACTAGATATTTTGATAATTTATCTTTTATATGTTATATATAATGGGGGATAGACATTTTGGGGGTATCCTTCCAGCCCCAAAGTGACAAATACCAGTGTGCAGCGGCACACCAAAGGAGGCAGAGCTGAAGGAACAGGACACTTTGCACAGCACATGCAAAATGCAAATGGCTGCATCGATCCAAGGCCCTTGGATGCATCAGCATCGACGGTCCTGTACAAAAAATTTTAGAGCTCCAAGCTCTGCACGTGCAGGGGCTAAACGCGTGACTGCTGGCAGGATCAGACCCTCGAGTACTGCTAACGTCGTTCTTACCTTCAGTCTGTGGTTCTGAGAAAACATCCTGATTCAGCCCATCTCATTAGTAAAATACACAACATATTTGTGAATAAGCCTTGTAACTGTGCAGTTAGCACTAAAAATCTATCCATCGCTGTAATTAATGCCTTTGTGTAGATAGAGCTAGTGCAGCTGACAGGCCCCTTGCTCACCCAGACGCTGAAGTCCACGGAGAGGTGACGGGGTGCAAGGCAAGGCAGAAATTTGGCCAAACACGTGAACGTTTTTCCTCCCCCTCATCCTCTACCTTTGCCCCTGCCGTCGCGCTGCGTTCCCGTCAGAAGCGGCCAGACCTCCTCCACCACGATGTTCGGAGTCAGGGTATTCCTGCAAAAAATCCTGATTCTTCTGCACGTTACTACGTGCGTTGTCATTGGCAAAACGCTGATGATACTGTTCCCTAATGCCATGAAAAGATACATTCTAAAACAGGGTGAAAAGAGCAGAATGAATGAGAATCCAAAGTTCAGCTATGAAAACTGGGGTCCGACTTTCTTCAGCTTCAAGTATTTGCTCTTTGTGCTGAAGGTGAAGTGGAAGAGGCTGGAGGATGAAGCCTATGAGGGACACTCTGCTCCCAACACGCCGGTGGTGACTTTCCACGGGGAAGTTCGTCACCTCTTTGATTTCATGCAAGGTAAGTAAATCAGCTGTGTAGATGGGTTTGGTTGGCTAAGAGAATAAATGAGAAGAGGCTGCTGAGGGAATAGGGACAGGCAGCTGGCATGAGAGTGCACGACAAAGCGGACCGACCAGACTAACAGCGCTTGTTTGATAGAAAAGATGCAGCACATCCATGCCAGCTGTCTGCCTCTTGATTTTCAAAAATAACCTGTGTTTATAATCCTGGCTACAATACCCTTTTACGCCAGTAAGTTTATGAACCTCTTGCAAAAGCTGGCTCTGCCTGGAAATACTTCTTCTGTGAAAGCCAAGATAGTAATTCATTTTAGGGAGAGAAAACCCAGAGTCAGAACCGTGTGCAGTGATTCACAAGCATTGGCTGCCATTCCCTGTACGTAAAGTCCCACACCAGCTCCCTTAGACAGCCTAAAGCCTAGAAAGCACTCGGTGGTTTTTTTGCAGATTCAAACTGACTAAAAATAAAGCAGAAGAAAAAGAAGCTGCTTTGTACTTTGTCCACTGCCTCCCACTGATATCTCTGTAGAACGTGGAATTAATCATTAAGCTGCAGTCCTGATCCCCACAGGAGGGATTACATCCTTCTCTAACTCTGCTTTTATAATTATATATATTTATGTAGAAAATAGGATGCAAATTTGGAAAAAAGATACACAATATCTACAGGAAGGTACCCCCTTTATTAGATTCTTTAGGATGTGTATCTATGCTAGCAGCAGTTTTTGAAGTTAAGCCCAGCCAGAAGGAAGATCTTGAACAAATTTCAGATAATTCAGTGTGACCATAGACTACAAGAGGTGCTTAAAAATCATGCAAGTTCTCTTAAATAGAAGCCTTGCAATCCATTAAACAGATGCTAACACCTGTGGGCACATAATGTGTTAATTTGTAAGCAACTGCATAGACACTTTTGCCAGTGGCTTGTGTAACATTAGTTTAATAAATAATAATGTATAACCAGAGTTCTGTTTGGACAGGAAATTGCAGAAATACATTGAAAGCATGAAAGCCTGTGATGCTTGACCAAAAAGCGCGGCTTCCACTCAGCTCAGCTAGAACTGACACCTCTGAAAAAAACCAAGACAAGTCCAGTAGGTTCATTAAACAGCATTAAGACATCTCTGAACCCATCCTTTGAAAAACCTTGCAGATGATCATGTTTAGTATTTTTGAAGTTCCTTTGTACAAAGGATCTCAGCGAGGCAGCGATGTGCTACACACTGTATATCCATTTTAGATCAGTTCCCTATCCCAAAATGTTGGTAACTTGAGAGTTGGCTCTCATGATGAGGACACAAGAGAGAAGCCGTGTGACTGCTCAGTGCCTTCTGCCTTTACTGGGCTTTACAAAGGAAAGGGTCCCCCTCGGTTAAGCTCATTGCTGGATCCAGCACAGGTCAGAGCCAGGCTAGGGAAGAGAAAGCATCTTTATGTCCGTTTTGCATAGATGCAGATGTTCTGCTGCCGATTTTAACATCCTAAGAAAGTTATGGGGTGACTTACCTAAGAGGCTCAGTTCAGTGTATGCATTTAATTCTGTCCTTCCTCCCTCCACTGATTTAACCACAAACTATCCTGTTTTTTTCCAGACAACCGACCTTTAATCCTGAATTTCGGAAGTTGCACCTGACCTTCATTTATGTTAAAATTTGATGAGTTCAACAAGCTCGTCAAAGATTTCAACTCAATAGCAGATTTCCTTATCGTCTACATCGAAGAAGCTCATGCAGTAGGTACAGTACAAACATCACAGTAATGCTTACCAAAACTTCCGACACATTATCATTCCCTTTAGCAAGAAAAGTATGTTAGCAAGGGAGGGAACTGCAAACAGGAAAGAAACCTTCCTCAAATCAAAAGTGGCAACACCAAACCTAGGGACCAGTCTGTCCCTAATTCTCCAAAGATTTTACTCACAGATCTGACTTT